TGCCAAATTTGAGTGAAACAGTATTCATAGTAGTCCTGAACACTCAGTGTCTCAAACTCTTCTTAAGTCTTGAGTTCCAAGGTACCTCAGCCTTGAGGCTCTCTGGGCCTTGAAGAGGTAGTGAGGGGAATGAAGGGCAGGGACCCTACAGCAATCTCAGCAGGAACCCCCGAGGCAGCGTCTATGGGCAGGTTCTGTCAAAGAAATAGCAGGAAATGCTTCTGGGCAGGGGTGGGGGAAGCCCATGAGAGCCAGACAATGTCTGGAGGGCCTGAGAGAGGGAAGGTCTGTGGCAGGGCTGAGTACAGAGGAAACGAGCTTAGGCTGGAGGTGGCACAGGCTCCCTGGAGGAGTGTCTCAGCTGGGGCCACAGGCCTGGGATGCCTGGTAGCCACACTTTAGAAAGTTATGGCAGGCCTGCCCGTGGGGTCTCAATCAAGTCTAAAAGCCACATGGGCCAGGCCTGTCTGGAAGGACCAGCTGTTGATCTCCAAAATCCAAGAAGCCTGCTGGCAAAGACTAGCTTGTCACTCAAGCAGTAGACACTTGAAGTCTCAGACTATCTCTGATTACTTGTTGTGATAGAGGATAGAGTCACATACACAAGGAAGCGGGGTCCCAGTGTGAAGCACAAATCCCTCTAGATCCTTTAAATGAAACGGTCTGAATACCCTCCTTTATCAACAGGAAGGTGAAAGGGAAAGAATGAACCTTCATAGAAGGGCCTGTGCCATATTTCAGGTCTGTTCTAAGTGATTTACATGCAGGAACTTCGTGGGGCAACTCTATGCGATAAACAGTATCCACTTTTTATCAGAGTAAATTAAGGCCCAGAAAGACAAGAAAAGTGTTCAGTTTCCCCTTCTCTTTTAATCCTTTCCACTGTCATTTAAATAAGCTCATGTCTCTCCGATCTTACTATGCTGTTGCTGTGTGCCATTCAGTCAGTACCAATTCATAGCAACCCTATAGAACAGAGTGGAACTGCCCCATAGGGTTTCCAAGGCTATAATCTTTATGGCAGCAGACTGCCACATCTTTCTCTCACAGAGCAGCTGTTGAGTTTCAACTGCCGACCTTTGGGTTAGCAGCTGAGTGCTTAACCACTGTACCACCAGGGCTCCTTAATCTTATAAGAACATGAGCAAATAAACAAACAAAACAAAACATAATCCCCACAACCTCTCTGGAGCCCTGATCCTCTTCCAGCTCCACCCTTTGTCTCTTCCCTAGTCCTCTTCATGAACGGGAGAAACTCGGGAATGAGTCATCTGCCCTTGGCCCTCTTCTTCACTCCAACTCGTTCCTATACACAACTGCAATGTGGCCATGCTGCCTCCCCCTTCCCCCTCCCTATATACACACTGAAAACGCAGGCTACCAGAACCTTCTTCTACTGTAAACACGATGCACACTTTTTAGCTTTACTTGATCTCTGCAGTCTTCAAGCTCATTGAACACTCCATCTGGACACGTACACTTCCTTTCAAATTCTGCTTTCTTATGACACCACTCTCTCTCGATTTCCCTTCTCCCACATTGACTGCTGCTTTTCTGTCTCCTCTGAGGCACTATATCTACTATGGGTTCTTTCAGGACTGGGACAGTGTTTTACTCAATGCTGCATACCCAGTACCTAAAACCTTGCCAAATGAAGGGATGTGGAATGAGTGAATGAACAAATGACCAATTGGTTAGTACACGGAAGGGCTGTTATCCAAGAGTTGTTCTCCAAACCAAGATGGGTCTGACTCCAAAACCCTTGTAGATCCACTACCCCAAGATGGCCTTTCTCTACTCTGGAGCAGTTCCCTAATAAAAAAAAACTTGATGTTCACTGGAAAAATAAATGAGAAATACGGAGTGAAATACCTGGTGAGGATAGTTTTGTAACCTACACACACTTCTTATAATGGCAGAGACACTTGAAATGTTAAGCCTACAGAGTAATGAAAACTCTAACGGTCTGTCTACTCAGCCAAGTGCAGAAAGCAGAGTCCCTGCCCAGCAGCTGAAAGAACTAACAACTCTGCTGTACAGTGAGAAAATAAACATGATTTCAGACACACAAAACCTGCATTTAGCTCTCATTCTACTGGGGCCAGTAAACCACCCATTTGGCTGGCAAGTGTGGCTCCTGGGATGGAACAACTTCAGCGCCTCATCAGAAATGAGGCCAGCTCATTAACCATCTCAGGGTGAGGAGGGTTGTGCTCCAGGGTGACACATTCAACTATCAGGAAGCTCAGGCCTTACTCCTGACTTTTTGGGGCAGGTGAATGATCAGAACTGGCAAATAGTTCCTGCCTGCCACAAAGCGAGAACATGAGAGGAAAGATGAGGAAAGGACCACAGCAGGAGTCACCTGAGTTATACGACCAGAGAAAAGGAAAGGAAGAGAGGACTCTCCCATGCTGCTGGCTCACTGAGCTCCTTCTCATTACAGCGAAACTCCTTGAAAACACTGTCCGTCCCATTTTTGCTCTTTTTTAAATTGTAATAATATAACAAACATTCCAAAAAAAATGCCTAAAACATAAACAATTAATAGACTGCTGTAAAAAAAAAGTGTAAGCACTACAAATACCAAGAAAGAACATCTCTAGCCTCCCAGAAGCCCCCTTTACACCCATTCCCAAACAATACCACCTATGTCCCTGTCATGGATTGAATTATGTCCCCCCAAAAAACGTGTGTATCAATCTGGCTGGGCCATGATTCCCAGAATTGTGTGGTTGTCCTCCATCTTGTAATTGTAATTTTATGTTAAAGCGGATTAGGGTGGGATTGTAACACCCTTACTAAGGTCACATCCCTGATCCAACCTAAAGGAAGTTTCCCTAGGGTGTGGCCTGCACCACCTTTTATCTTACAAGAGATTAAAGGAAAGGGAAGCAAGCAGAGAATTGGGGACCTCATACCACCAAGAAAGTAATGCTGGGAGCAGCGCACATCCTTTGGACCCGGGGTCCCTGCGTGGAGAAGCTCCTAGTCCGGAGAAAGATTGGTGAGAAGGTCAACAGAGAGAAAGCCCTCTCCTGAAGCTGACGCCCTGAATTTGGACTTTCAGCCTACTTTACCCTGAGGAAATAAATTTCTCTTTGTTAAAGCCAGCCACCTGTGGTATTTCTGTTATAGCAGCACTTGATGACTAAGACAATCCCCTTTAGAAGTGACCATTATCCTGACTTCTGTGATTTTCACTTCCTTGCTTTTAATAGTTTTACCACTTATTTAAATACGTTTCTGAACTTTATAGAGTCACACAGTATGTCTTCTTGTGCCTGCTTCTTTCACTCAGTATTATCCATAATGTTCTGTCTGGGTATAGTTCATTTATTTTTGCTGCTGTATTGTATTCTACTGAATACATACATCACAAATTTGTCGATTCTTTCTGGACTTTTGGGTTGCTTCCAGTTTGGGGCAACCACAATCAAAACCATCATGAACATTCTTATACACATATCCTGATGCACATAAGCACACATTTTACAGTGTATATATTTGGGTGCAGAATTGCTACTCAATCAGTTCTGCATACCTTCAACTTTACAAAATAATGTCAAATTGTTTTCCAGATTTACCTTTTCACAGCAACGTATGAAAGTTTCTGATACTTCTGTTACTAGCATCTTACATACCTGTGGGACACTGGTTGCAACTGATGAACCAATACTGATACGTTAGTATTAACCAAAGTCTGCAGTTCACATTAGGGTTCACTCTTTGTGTTGTACACGTCTACGGGTTTTGACAACGCATAATGTCATCCACTGTTACAGTATCACACACAGGACAGTCTTACTGCCCTGGTATTCCTGGACTGCATGGTATTTCTATTTCTAGCTTTTTATGGAGGCACTGTATCATTTTCCATAGTGGTTGTACCATTCTACATTCCCACCAGCAGCGCAAAAGTGTTCCAAACTCCCTGAAAGCTCCCCAACATTTGTTATTTTGTCTTTTTTGGATTAGTGCCAGTAATGTCAGGGTGAGACGGTATCTCACTGTGGTTTTGATTTGCATTCCTCTAATGGCGAGTGATCCTGAGCATTTCCTCATGTGTCTGTTAGCTGTCTGAATGTCTTCTTTGGTGAAGTGTCCGTTCATATCCTTTGCCCATTTTTTTAACTGGATTATTTGTCTTTTTGTTGTTGAGGTGTTGAAGTATTCTATAGATTTTAGAGATGAGACCATTGTCAGGTATGTCATAGTCAACATATTTTTCCCAACCTGTAGGTTCTCTTTTTACTCTCTCGGTGAAGTCTTTGATGAGCACGAGTTTAATTTTTAGGAGCTTCCAGTTATCGAGTTTATCTTCTACTGTTTGCACATAGTTAGTTATGGTCTGAACTGTATTTAGGCCATGTATGAGGGCCCTGAGTGTTGTCCCTATTTTTCCTTCCATAATCTTTATCACTTTGGATTTTATATTTAGGTCTTTGATCCATTTTGAGTTAGTTTTTGCGTATGGTGTGACATATGGGTCCTGTTTAACATTTTTTACACATGGACATCCAGCTTTGCCAGCACCATTTGTTAAAAAGACTGTCTTTTTCCCATTTAATAAACTCCGGTCCCTTGTGAAAGATGAGCTGACCATAAGGTGGATGGATTTACCTCCCAGTTCTCGATTCAGGGGTCATTTTTACCATAAACAATGTTACCTGGCACTACAGCTGATATTCCATCTTTATCAGAGCTACAAAGTGAACACAAGGTCAAACTTGTTCTTCGAGAAGAAGAGGGGATTTTGTTAACCCTCTACCCACAGTACGAAAGATGAAAAGCTCTGTTGTGGAAATACTACGTTTGCAATGCAGCAGGAACACCCAAGTGGAGACGCAACCATGTCTAGAACTCAGGGGAAAGGTCTGGCAGTCTCTTTTTAAAGGAAACGTAGTGGAGAAGAACCCACCATAGCAGCCACACACGGATCTGGTCCGCCTGCAGGGTGTGGGCACGCAGAGGTGGCCTGGTCCCCAGGGGTGGCTTACCTCTCCCGCAGGCCTGCACCAGGCCATACCACTCCCCACAGCTGTTACACAACAAGGTGAAGGCGGTCTCGCGTTGGCCCGTGACATGGCCTGGGGCACACACGTATAGCAACTCGTCCCCCACTTCCAAGCCGGTGCGTCCCTGCAGGATGGTGTGTGGAAATGAAGGCGGGTCTCCACAGGGATTGTCTGAAGAGAAGGAATCACCATTAGGTTTCCCAAACCACACTTAAAAAGCAGCTGTCCCTTCTGTGGGTGCTGCCAGCGCCCTGAACGGGATCATGAGTGACTGTTTGGTCTGTGTGGGTGGACAGTGGACATCTGAGACGGGGCTGCTGCTTCTTTTTTTTCCCCCCCAAGTCATTTCTGACTCATGAAGACCCCATGTGTTTCAGAGTAGAACTGTGCTCCACAGGGTCTTCCTTTTTATTGTACTTTAGGTGAAAGTTTACAGCTCTAGTTTTTCATTCAAAAATTTATACACATATTGTTTTGTGACATTGGTTGCAATCCGCACAATGTGACAGCACCCTCCCCCTTCCCACCCCAGGTTCCCTGTGTCCATTCATCCAGTTCCTGTCCCTTCCTGCCTTCTCACCCTGCTTTTGGACACGAGTTGCCCATTTGGTCTCGTATGTTTGACTGAACTGAGAAGCACATTCCTCACGTGTGGTACTGTTTGTTTTCTAGGCCCGTCCAATCTTTGTCTGAAGAGTGGGCTTTGGGAATGGTTTCAGCTCTGGGTTAGCAGAGTGTCTGGGGGCCATAGTTTCAGGGGTTACTGGGCTGCTTCTTGTTCACAGCTCTCATTCACCACGGTATCTCCAGGCCTGGCTGAACCCCTGGCACAAATGAGATACTCAATACTTGCTGGATGAATAGATGTGCTACAAAGTGCTTCCATTTTGTATTGTCAAGTTGCCAGGCAACATTACCTTCTGATGTCTACACGAAAGGAGGCACCAAGAGACATCCCTAGCAGCAAGCTATTTTTTGCCTTTTTTAGATCAATAAATAGGTGCTCTTTGTCAACAGCTAAGATGTTATAGAAGTACACAGTACAGAAGAGGGTGTCTCTCTCATTCCCCAACTCTAATCTCAAAGGTGAACATGGTTAACAGTTTGGTATCTACACATAAATGCAGGAAAATGTGTGTATATGTATGTGTGTGTGTATGTGTGTGTGTGTATATATATATCCATATATACATACACACATGTGTATGCATGTGTGTATATATATATATATATCCGTATATACATACACACACACACACGCACACATATATATAAAACCTGCTTCTGTAAAGATTACAGCCAAGAAAACCCTATGGAGCAGTTCGACTCTGTAATACATGGGGTTGCCATGAGTCAGAATCAACTCAATGGCAACAGGATATATTTGGTTTATTTTTTTACATACCTGCTTTTTAAAAACATATCTTGGAACTCTTTCAACATTAGTCCCACAAGCTACTTTACCTATTGAATCATTAGGCAGACATTACGTTGATTATAATTTCTCACTATTATAAACAGTGCAACAACGAACATCGTCATACGTACATCTTTGTCCGTATCTTATTTCTTTAGGATAAATTTCTAGAAGTAGAACTACTGAATCAAGGGGATTTATTTTTCAAAATAAAGTAAATCATTTTTCATTCAAATTTCCTCTTCTAATTTTGTATATTTTTCTCCTTCAGTCCTTACAGAGTCAAAGTGCTTAAGCAAATTGCATATTGCTGACAAGAAGCTATGCTGAGAAAGGGTGAAAACAGAAAATACAACTTGAGCTTTAAAAACCACCTTGACTGGCCTGACAGCTTGTAGTTTCGGTAACACCTTCTCAAAGACAGTCATTGCTATGCGCATTCTTTAACATGAAAGATTCTGAACGAAAAAGAGTATGGCTATACTTCAGGAAGACAGCACACGGGGCCACACTTGAACCCAAACCGCCTTAACCGTGGACCCCAGGAGAGCAAGCACTTATTTCACCTATTGTGGCAAGTAGGGACAGCTATCCTAAAAGCTGCCACACATCCAGGGGCATGTCCCCCGAGCAGGGGGCCATCACCCTTCGGTTTGCCTGGTCTGAGCAGGTCACCCTGTGAAAGATGACCCAAAGTCCTCAGCCTCAGTCAAATCAGGCTGGACTGAATTCCAGCTGGCATCTCAGCAGCCCATGGCTCTGCCACACTCTCCACCATCCTCAACTGCCCACACCCACACCCACACTGGATGCCCCAGTCTTTACTCCAGGGCTTTCTATCTGTTCTTTCATTATACATAAGAACCACCTGGGGATCTTGTTAAAATGTAGATTCCAATTCAGTATATCTGGGAGTGGAAATGCAAATTCTCAGCAGGGAACTTGTTAGAAAGGCAAATTCTCTGCTTTTCTCCTCCTATCAGGATCTAATTCCAGGAAACTAGAGGCTCTTCATCAGTCACTCACTTTCCAAGCTAGAAGGTCTCATGTGGGTCTACCTGCAGAACACAACCTCAGGTCCTCAGAAGGAAAGTCCAGGAGCCGAGTAACCGACTGAATCAAGGGGGAACCTCAGGCCAAATTCACACCCAACCAGACTCATGGGATCTTCTCCCTCAAAATTAACTTCCAGGATGACATGGGCTAGAATCTGGCTCAGGAAAACCACAATAATGTTCCTGACAGTCTTGGTCCATGTACCAAGTGTTTCTGGATTTCCCACACATGCCCAACACAGGAAACACACTACTTTTTAGCTGGTGTGTTTTCAGAAGCTGCAGGACAACAGTCCCATGTTTTACCTCTTCCAGCTGTCAGCCAAAAACACCACTCATATCCAGGTGCAACCTGAATTAGCTCCTTCACCAAGCTTCCCATCTTGAACCTCACAAGGGAGCTATGGAAAGCAGCTGGCTACATACCTGGACATTCTTGTATCCAGGGAAACTTACATTTGGGCAGTCTTTACTGCCACTTCTCAATTATTCTACAGGCAGGGACGTGGGTTCCTCAGACCTTAGAGCTGTGTTTCAACAATTTCAACATTGTCTTAGTTATCTAGAGCTGCTATAACAGAACTACCACAAGTGGGTGGCTTTAACAAACAGAAATATATTCTCTCACAGTCTAGTACCCTAGAAGTCCAAATTCAGGGCGTCAGCTCCAGGGGAAGTCTTTCTCTCTCTGTTGGCTCTGGAGGAAGGTCCTTGTCATCAATCTTCCCTTGGTCTAGGAACTTCTCTGCGCAGGAACCTCAGGTCCAAAGGACATGTTCTGCTCCTGGTGCTGCTTTCTTGGCAGTATGAGGTCCCCCATGTCTCTCTGCTCCCTTCTCTCTTTTATATCTCAAAAGAGAGAAGCTTAAGACACAATCTAATCTTGTAGATCTCATCAACATAACTGCCGCTAATCCATCTCATTAACATCACAATGACAGGATTTACAACACATAGGAAAATTACATCAGATGACAAAATGGTAGACAATCACACAATACTGGGAATCATGGCCTAGCCAAATTGACACACATATTTTTGGGGGACACAATTCAATCCATGACAGACATCAACAGCAATTTCTATTATTTTTACTTCCAAGGAAAGTTTTATAAAAGGTCTTACCTAATAAACAAGAATGTATTCATAAACAATAATTCATTTTTCAACTTTAAAAGGCACATGTACCTGCCAATCAGGGCTTCTGATAACCAGTGTTTCCACCAAGAGTTGGGAACACATATGAAATTTGACACTTCTATTTTGAAATGTTCAAAGACTTAGATCACTACTTTTGAAATTCTAAAGAAGGGCCTGCAAACTCCCATTTTTACTTCACAAACCAAAATTTGAAAATTCCAACCTAAGTGCTCCACCTTCCCCCCTTCCTTTTGGTGTTACCTAAGCTATGTGAAGGAGCCCTGGTGGCACGGCAGTTAAGCGTTCAGCTGCTAACCAACAGGTCAGCAGTTCAAACCCACCAGCCGCTCCTTGGAAACCGTACGGGGCAGTTCTGCTCTCGTATAGGGTTGCCGAGTCGGAATCCACTCAACGGCACACAACAAGCTACGTGAGGGACACGGTGGTTCAGCGGTGGATTCTCACCTTCCATGAGGAAGATCTGGGTTTCCAGCTCATGCATACCAAGCACAGCCACCACCCATCTGTCAGTGGAGGCTTGGGTCTTTCTAAGATGCTGAACAGGTTTCAGTGGCGCTTCCAAACTCAGGTGAAATAGGAAGAAAGGCCTGGCAATCTACTTCCAAACATCAGCTAAAGAAAATGGTGATCCTGATCACGGGGATGTCACAGGACCAGGAAGTGTTTCGCTGCATTGTGCATGCTGCCGCCACGGGTCGGGGTGCCAACTCAAGGTAGTGAACAACAATAAAGTTGTGTGAAGAAGCCCTCTTTAGCTCCCTCCAGCCCCGTTCCTCCCTACCCTACTCCAGCCAATACAAAACCAGCACTGCCCTCCCCATCCTGCTCAATTTTAGTGTTGGCTCTTGAACTCTATTCCCAACAAAACCCACTGCCATGGAGTCGATTCTGACTCATAGTGACCCCATATGAGTAAAGGCTGTAAACCTCTAGGGAAGCAGACTGCCACACCTTTCTCCTGCGGAGCTGCTGGTAGTTTTGAACTGCTGACCTTCCAGTTAGCAGTTGATCGCTTTAACCACTGCGCCACCAGGGCTCCTCAAACTATATTAGTAGTTCTTAAACTTGAGTGTACCTCAGAATCACTTGGAGGGATTGTAAAAACACAGATTGGCGTGTTCTTGAGCATTTGACTCAGTAGGTCTGGGTTGGTAGCCCAGAATTTGCATTTCTAATGAGTTTCTGAGCGATATTGATGCTGGTAATCCAGGGACCATGGAAAACTATCGCTGTAGATCAAAACCTACCCTGAAATGGAATACTGCTCAGCCAGAAATGAAGACATGAAGGAGAAAGGAAGTCTTGATACGTGCTACAATAGGGATGGAGCTGGAAGACATTATACTGAATGAAATAAGTCAATCACAAAAGGACAAATACTGTGTGACCTCACTTATATAAAAAGAAAAAGCAAATGTATAGAGAACAAAGTTTATTAGTGGTTACCATGGGTGGGAGGGAGGGAGAAGTGGGGGGGTTAACAGTGATGGAAAAATCACATTAAGGGTAGGGCTGCACAGCTGATTATTGTAATGGCT